GATAATGATATCTGCTGCACATGTTTGGCTCTTGCAGATCTACAGTCAGCCATTGTTTGCAGTAACTGAGAGATGGATTTCAAAGAAGCATCCGAATAGCAAATTTGTGAATAAAGAACACAGAATTAAGCTCCCATTACTGCACGATTTCAAGTTGAATCTTCTTCGGCTTTGCTTCAGAACTGCATACGTTGCATCTACAACGGGAGTGGCTATTCTTTTTCCTTATTTCAACCAAGTTTTAGGAGTTCTTGGCGCTTTGAATTTTTGGCCTTTGGCTATATATTTCCCTGTGGAAATGTACATTGCGCAGAATAATATACGAGCTTGGACAGGAACATGGACCATTCTTCAAGCTTTCAATATACTTGGCCTTCTTTGCAACATTATAGCTTTAGTCGGGTCGATAGAGGGACTCATAAGCAACAGATTGAGTTAGGGAATTGTTGATTTGTAGCTAAATGCCTTTGTCGGTTGATTCTAGTGAATATGTTCGAATGGCTTTTAATGGTTGCACTGAAAACGTACAAATGACATATGGTTACCAGTAATGAATCCAGACTTGACACAAATGGTGTGTTTGGCATACCGTTGTAGTGGAGATTGGATTATGATGACGAGGTCTATCACTGCAATAGTGTTATTTATATACAGAAACAAGTAATACAGGTGGAATTCCGTGCAATTTGGTTCGTCTCATCCGACGAATTTTTCTTCATTCATAATTTAACATGCTTATTGCCTCATTTTGAGTTAGGATGTGATAACTCGAAAACCTATTTATGAAAAAGTAGGGGTATTAAATTTTGAAAATGTTGTATTAAAGTAATAATTTTATACATAAAATATTGAATTTTGAAAATGATATCGAATATTATCAATTGTTATTTTTTTGTAGTGGGAATTAAAGCGTGAAATTGTATTAATATTTAGTTTAAATTTGAACTCGAAATTAAGTTAATTTTTTAGTTTAAGCCAATAAAAAGTAAATAATAATATGCTATGAAAACTAGAAGCAATAAATGAAGATGTACTAAATCCAATACAAAAGTGACAAATCAAAGAAAATAGACTAAAGGCGTCTATCAATTTGTATATGAGCACGAAGGTATCTGGACAAGTAAAGAGATCCATGCTCCTAGTAGCAACATCTCTCCCATCCCTCTATGGCAAGTGAGTCAGCAATTTGGTTCCTCTCAATAAAGAATTGTGCTACTTGTAGATCATCCCTTACACAAGGGGTGACATAATGCACAAGTGGCTTCTCCTCATTGGAGGGGCGCTGAGGCCCACATGTGAGCCTTGGCGTCCCTCCAATGAGGAGGCGCCACTTGTGCATTATGTCATTGGACCTCAGTGCCCCTCCAATGAGGAGGCGCCACTTGTGCATTATGTCACCCCTTGTGTGGAGGGGCGTCACGTGTGCATTATGTCATTGGGCCTCAGCGCCCCTCCAATGAAAAGGCGCCACTTGTGCATTATATCACCCCTTATGTAAGGGGTAATGTACCCATAGCAAGGTTCCTCAATAAACTACGTAAATAAGCAGCTGACTTACTAGCTGCATAGAATGGGAGCGACATGAACCTCTTGACTTGTTCCGACGACTTCGTACACTTATTTCGAAACGTTTCCAAAAGTTTCGATTTTCAAAATGTATTCGAAATAGAAACAATAGCATCTTAGAAGTTTCAATGTAGCCTAAATCAAAAGTCTTCAACCTAAATATTATAGCCAATAAATTCTTTGCATTAATTTGTCAATCTGGGTATGCTAAAATGAAAATAGACAATTTTGTGCCATTGGTTACAGAAGGCAAAATGTTATTTTATCAATGTTTATCAGAAAAAGAAAGTTCAAAGGCCAAAATTATGTCATTTTTTGTGTGGACCTTTCTCTTTGACTTCAAGGAATAATTATGAACTTTTTTCTACACTAAGCTGTTCTGTACTTGGACGTAATGAATTACTTCGTGCAATGTACATTATTTTTTAATTATTATTATTAATTTGAATTTTTCTAGAATTATAATTTTTGTTTGTTATTAAAAGATTGATGAAAGTTATAAACATTTCAATAGACATAAATATAGTATCCTGATATTAAACTGTTGTAATTCAAAATTCTGTGGGTTGTAAATTTTATTATACATAATTACTGAATTTTTGAGGATTTATTTTCGATTAAAAAAATTATTTTTAACTGTACATTCCTTCTTCCTCGCAGAAAGCAAGTAATAATGTGCAGTACTTGATGCAGGTACTTATCAAATACTTTAGTCAAAAGTTTTTCAAGAAGTTAAATGGAGTTTCTTCAAGGTCTCTGGTTTTTATTTAAAAAAAAAAAAACCCTTCAAGTTTCATCAAGTTATCGAAGAGTTTTGATTTTCAAAACATACCTAAAATAAAAACGCTTAGGCCATGTTTGATTGTGTAGATTTTCCATGAAAATGGAAAACAAATTTCATTTCCCTCTAATTTGTATGTTTGATAGAGTAAAAATTGTCAAGAAAACATTTTCCCCCACCCCTCTCACGCGCCTATTTTCCTCAAAATTCATGATTTCTAGGTGCTGTTGCCTCCTTTTTTTTTTGGGCAATGAAAACAAATTTCATAACCAGTTAAAAAAAAATCACTTTAATTGATAATTTTCATACAAAATAAAGTCAAACGAACACTAAACTTTGATTAAAAAAATGATTTTTTAAGGAATTTTTTTTTTTTACTTTTTGGCAATAGAAACAAATTTTATAACCAATTGTGAAAAAATTATCACTTTAATGATCAACTTCCATATAAAATAAAGTCAAACGAACACAAAGAGATCCAAAACACACTTAATTAACAATTTCTTGCAAAACAATTTTTAGACAATTACTTTATCTGGAATTCATTTTCTTTCCACCAATTTTCCACCCTTGCAATCTAACGGACCCTTACATTTTTTGTGCAACTTAGATTCAGAGCGACCAATCTAAATATTTTACCCAATAAATTCTTTGCATTATTTTATCAATTTTTATAAAATGAAAGTTCAATGGCCAAAATTTGATGTCATTTTCCATCTGTGCGCTATTTGAAAATTTTGGGACTATAGCTATAATTAATTTTTTAAATTTTGTTGTCTTCTCTTTTTGTTTATTTAAAGAGTAGTATAAATTTGTTATTTTACAAGATTTTATGGAGAAACTAGACTAAAATATTGCATTGGGCATTGTTTGGTTGATATGAGGGTATTGCGTCAAAATGAAAGGTTGGAGGTATTTCGCAAAACCAGCAAGGTTAGGGGATATTTCATCAATTATTCTAAAATTTATGTGACAAACCATTGCCATATATGTCATCACGATGCACATTTGCAGGGGCGGAGGCCCAATAGGTCCAGTGCAGGCAAATGCCCGCACTGAACTTTTAGGCCAGATTTTTTTTGGGCCAACTTTTTTTTTTTTAGTTAACCCACCTCCCAGCCGCCCAGCCCAAGGTTGAAACACCCTGACCCAAGCCCAATAGCAACCCTTCTTCAGTTCTTCTCGTCCGTTTGGAATTGGGGCAAAAATTAACCTTCTTCATTTCCTCTTCCTTCTTCCTTCACTCGTCGCCCGTTCCAAACTTCCAGCCTCTTCATTGCTCAGTCCGCCCCTCTTCTCCTCTTCTTCCACGGTTCCACCTGATTTATCTGCGTTCTATCCATTGTCCAACATTCCCCTCTTCGACTTCGCCCCTGCCTGTTCGAGTCTTCGAGATTCAAGCTTTTTTCAACACTTCGAGGTTCGAGCTACAGTCGAAGAAGAACTGAAGAAGAAGCCAAGAAGGTGACCAATGTTTTTTTTTTTTTACTGTTATTTCAGAATTTCAGTAAATCAGTAATTCAGTATAGTCTTTCGCCCCTACTTGTTTTTTTATGTTAAATTGAAATTGAAATTAGGGTTTTGATGTTAACATTTGAATTTGTTAAATTGAAATTGAAATTGTGAGTTGACTGAGTTCGTTATTTTGCCTCTGTGAGTCTGTGAGTGTGAGTGACCCCTGCAGCTCTGCCTTTGCCTGTGCATCTGTGAGTGAGTTAAAATGTTAAATTGAAATTGAAATTGTGTATTGCACTGTGAATTGAGTATACTATTCCCCGGGAAATGAAGTTTGAATAAATGAATTGCTAATAGTGATGCTATGCCTATTAGCTACATGAATAGAATTGTCCTCTTAATTGCCCATTAAAGTTGATTGTTCTGACTGTTTGTGTGAAGTCTAATTGATTGTCCCCTGGTAGTAATTGTTTAATTGAATATGAAATGTTTACATTCAGATATCAAATGAAATTATGAAGAGATACTTTCAAAGAAAAACGAATGTAGAAAATGTTGATGAGGGGATATCAAATAATGTGGAATTTGATGTCACAAAACTTCCAACTGATCCTGGACTAAGGATACCCATATTGGATTACGATCATACATTCGAGATGAAGTTCGAAGAGCATATATGCTAAAGGGTCCTTGTCAACCCCAAGATCACGACTTTCCAAAACGACAATTTGGAGTAACTGCTAGACGGTTCAATTCTTCTTGGTTTAAAGAGTTCGGTACTTGGTTGGAGTACAATGTAGAAAAGGATNTCTTAAAGTTGGTGTTCCAACTATCACAAAATTCATTTTCTACCGCTAAAAAATGGGAAGCAAATAGAGGCTAATACTATCTTAAATAATATTAGAGTTTAGCTTGTAAATACAGTACAACCTTTATAAATTTATACTTTATAAACTAATAACCTCTATTGCATATTAAAATTTCTCGAGATCTATGACAGTTGATAACAATTAAAATAAACAAAAAACTGTTAATGAGATTCGAGTTCAACAAGAATTGAAAGTTCTATAATCCAAAAAAAAAAAAAAATTATTTAGGTACTGAAATGGCTCGGTATCAATCTGAGATTCTCATCTTATGCTGCTGTATGATTTTCTATACCCTGCAAACTGGGATTCTTGTCAACTGAAGCAAGTCTTCAGTCGATCTTCACTGATGAGAATAGGTAATGGACAAAGTAGAATGATACAAGGAAACCTATTGTGCCAGTAGAAAGCATGATTGCAACTGCTATTATCAGGGAGTAGCCGAGATATAGTATTGCCGACACTGGCCCACTCAAACTCTGGAGCTCGAAAACCAGATAATTAATGGAGTACAAGAACACGTAAAGGGAAACAGAACCTGATGCGTAGAATGCTTTCCACCACCACATCCAATCCTCGACACAGAGATGCATGTATGTGAGGACAACAGAAACTTCAGCACAAACAGTAATCAACAAAATAAGTACAATAAGAAGGAAGCCAAAGACGTAATAGAATCTTCCAAGCCAGATGCTAGAAAGGATGAAGAAAAGTTCGATAAAGAGGGTTCCAAATGGAAGAGTTCCAGCACCAAGAATAAGAAGCCATGATGGATATTTGCGTGCAGGAATCTCTCTAGGGATTTGATTAGTTCGAACAGGATACTGAATAGGCTCAGCTTGGGTGGCCAAGAATCCTCCTAAGAGAGTTAGTGGCACTGAAATGCAGAACCAGAGAGAAAAAAGTATGAAATACAAAGAAATGGGAATAGCTCCAGTACTCCTGCTTCCCCAAAGGACGAAATTCAATGCTGTGAGAATAACAAATACAATTCCTGGAAAGAAGCATGCTATTGACCAAGAAACTGAACTCCACCCATCAGAATGACCTTTGATAGTTCTCCACATACGTACACCAACATAGCCAGCTGCAATTCCCAGGAAAAGGTAAAGAATTATCATCCCTGTCAGCAACATACCCCGTGAAGCTGGTGACATGAAACCAAGAGCTGCAAAAACAATCGACACGATTGCCATCCCAGTGATCTGAACTCCATCTGCAACCATCACACAAAGTAGCTTCGAATGACTTGGTTCTCTGAACACATCACCAACAATAAGTTTCCATCCGGAGAGCTCCTCATTCATCTGAGCCTGAGATTCTTTGTCCAATTCATCATACCTTGTCAGATCCCTTCTCACAGTTCTCAAAAAGATAACAAAAACGATGCTTGCCAAGAATAAAATTACTACCAACGAGTTGAGAATTGAGAACCAGTGAACACGGGCTCCATCCATCTTGAGATAAGCATCCCATCGAGATGGCCATCTGATGTTGCTTTTTACAAACTCAACCTCATATGTAAATGAAACTCTCTCTCTCTCCCTTATAACTTGAGACTTGTCAAGTTCCTGTGGACAGCTTACTGTTGTAAAATTGTCATAAATGTTGAGTTTTGCCATCTTCTCAGGATCATATTTTACACTACAAGGGACAACCTCAAAACCAACAATCTCATACCCTGAAGTCTTATTTTTATCCGCTTGAGAAATGAATCCCATACCTCCTTCCCCAGTACCAATTACTTCCACAGCAGCTCCTTCATACTCATGAATCAGGACCCTAAACTTGAGGTGGTTGATGATATAATAATCATTACTGTTGGCTGGAGAGTAGCCGATTGGAAACCCAGTCCACTGAATTTTTACCCCATTTTGGTCAGTATACCTAATGGCAGGCATATTATCAAGGATCATATTCACTTGATACAGATCACGTGTTCTCTGCTTCAAAAGTGTTACCTCATGCTCACTCAGAGGAAGAGTAGTACAGAGGTAAACAGACTCGTTCAAATTCATGTGGAAACGGTATGGAGAGTTGTCAATCTGATCTCCCATGAGCAGTTCTCCAAGATTCTCAGCACTTTTCTTTACTCCCCCATGAGGTTTGCAATAAGGAAGACTGTAATAGCTGAAGGGAAGCTCAGTTTCAATTGAGGTCAAAGAATTCACTTTGGCATAGATTTTGTCCCCTGTTGAGTATGTATGCATGTAGCTTCCGGGAAGATAAAACCCATTACATGCTTGAAATAAGAGAGTCAAGTACACGACAGCAGCATATTGTTTCTTTCTTGAAATCAAAGGTAAAGCCATTGTTCAGGAGAAGTATATCAAAGCAACTATCCTCAAACCCGCTCACTCGAAGCCAGAATCGACAGAGTACACAACATCGGCATCAACTCTGAGAGGAAGGAATATTTTTCGCATCAGTATACTAGTTTCTTTCTACTTGGACTTCATAAACAGTGAGCAAAAATTATAACTACTAGCTTTTCATTCACTCTTTTTGTTAATAATAAAATAAAGCCGCCTTCATATAAACACAATGAAATCGAATGCTTTCAGCTCAAAAACTACACATTTATCAACCATATACGTAGTCTTCAGTGGTGAAGTTTACTCAATTTCCAATAGTGATCGCAAAAAAAACCGCCCAACATTTATCAACCATATACGTAGTTATAAGTGGTGAAGTTTACTCAATTTCCAATCTAAACAGATATAAGTATAAAGGAACTTATACCACTTATGTTATCGTATAGGAAGCAATTTCGTGCTATATATATGAGGCAATTTAATTCAACTTTTCCAACTCAAAATTTTCCTTTGTGCTATCCAAATTATGCATAGGAATATATACATTTTAAATCAGTTTTCTTCCAAGGAATCGAACCTCGTTACTCCTTTGGAAATAAATACTTTGAAAAAGATTTTGTAAGGACGTCATACAATCTACCAATTTCATTGAACTGCAATGAATTCGAGCCGCTGGATTTCACAAGCAAAGACAGAAACACCTAAAAGAAATGATGCAGGAATTCACAAATGCACAAATCTAATTATACTACTCATATTTCAGAAGCGTGTCCACAAATATCCATTAAATACAAATAATTGTTTATTCATAAACAATACTCAGAAATCTATTTCGACAAAAACCTATACAGGAAAATGAAATTTCTAATAGGACCCATCAGCAATTACATAGATCCACAATAATGAAGCAAAGATCCAAACTCGATTGCAGAGAAATTTGACTCCTATCAATTCAAATGTGGTCTTCAACATCTAACATATCAAATACAAAATAACAGAACACCGGTAAAGTCATCACTTCAACAAAAAATAAAGAAAAAATCACAGGTATACAGAAAGAAAGATAAATGAAATAAAAAAAACGTACTATTTTTTTTTTCAGATTTTCGATCAACGTACATCTGTATATACGGAATATGAATTAACATTATGCATTTACACGCTTACCAGTGGTGGAACTGAAACTCGTTAGATTCAGACATGACTAAGATTGGGTGAAAATCAGAGTTTCCCAAGATTCGTGAAATTCGTTTGCATGTGAGAGTCCGCTCGAGCTCCCATATAAATGGTTGAGCGCAATAAGTAAATTATAATTTTTGGCATTTCATTCAATGAAGGTGGACGGTTATAAAGGTACGTAGGAATAAAGCAATGGCTACAATATGTAACATACGAAGCTAAAATCGACCTAACGTAGGTAGAAATAAAGTGGGCTACAATATAAAACAGAAGAAGCTAAAATCGGCGTGAATAAAAATAAAGATCGGGCTAAAATATGTAACCGAAAAGGCTAACGTTTGGTGCCCCACATTCCTAACGTGTGGAATATAGTGACGAAAGTCACGACCCAACAATACTAACGAAAAATGAATGTATAGAACAAGAGAATCGTTTTCTACTTTGGTGAGCTTCATCATTACCCCTTCATCAAGTCTTTCAAAAGTTGCATTTGTCTCACATAGAGCATAAGTTGATTTGAGGAAACTAGATCAAATATTAAACAGCGGATAATATTTACTAATTTTCGTTTTTTTTAAAAATGTTGAGACACTTAATCTAACCAGACATGTCAAAATAATAAATGTTGTTTCATGTACAATATTTGTTACTTCGTAGCTCTTTCGTAATTGTCTACAATACAAACACGCTTCTGAGACCCTTCTTTAGAAATTTCTCAGCTTCTCCTTAAACGTGTCATATTGTAGATTATTAAAACAAAGTACAATGGAGATTGAATTAGTAAGAGGCGAACAACTCAAGTAGTAACGAAGTTTACAAGTCTCCTGTTTGTAGATTACATATGAGATGCTGAATTATCTGCTCAAATGATGTTACAAATCTGAGAGAGAGACAACATAGGACTACTATTTAATGAAATTTGAGGTTGGTTAAGACATTGTTGTTCACAGGATCAGCCAAATGGTCCAGCAGGTTTTGGAAGGGACCAACTCCAGTAACCAAAGCTTGTACAAAGTAACCCAAGATTGCCAACATAGCCAATCTTCCATTCTTCACTTCCTTCAACTTCAATTCCTTCATGGATTTCTCATCTTTACCGAACCCCAACGGGTTAAAAAAGGGGCCACCAGGGTATGCTGGGTCACCCGACCCTCCCAAGCCTTTCTCCAAACCCAAGAAGTATTGCTTGCCCATGGACCCTGGATTGGCCCAGTCCTGGAATCTCCGGTGCTCTGCAAATCCCATAAGTGCCATTTCGAGAACGAATAAGGTGTAGGAATCTGCCCAGTAGTTATATGTTCCGGCTGGAGGAATGACTCCTGTCTTGAACCACGGGAGGGCTGTTTCCGCTGGAATTAGGCCAGCCTTTCCAAGAATTTCTGGTGCAATGGCTCCTACTGCACCCAACATTGCGGTACGTCCATTGAAGACTTCTCCATAGGCTAGCCATTTGGGCTCAATGAATCCTCCAGTACCTTCAGGATCCGACAGTCCCAATGGATCGAATCCATAGTCACCAGGGAGGCTGAAAAAGTTAGAAAAACACGATGAACTTAGACTGATATTCATCATTTCACTCCACTATTTGTCTCAAACATAATCTGATCTTCATTTTTGTCGAAAAGTAGCATTGTTAAGAGCACATATGAATTTACCTGCCATCCAAATAGGAAAGACTTTGCTTGGATGCAAACCAGAGTGGCCTGTCTGCTCCTTGCTGACAAAATAATCAATGGCTATAAGTAATTGAGCTCATAATCATGTCTACACGCAATGTGCGCGCTTATGCACTTGAAGGGTTGAAGAGGGTCTCAGTTGGACCATGTAGAGCCTGATTGGGTATTCTACACATATATTAGGCCACCCTAATAATTCTATTCCATAAAGTACTTTTGAACTCCTTTTTTTGTAGTGTGAGATGCTCATATATCTTCTAGAGTATAATGAAAGCGTGGAAGAGTTAAATGGATGTAAGTCTCTTATGGAGGATGATCTCGTGCGTAAACTTATTTTCGATCAAAATGGCAATTTAAACTTTTAGATAAAGTGGTTCAACATAATAGAGCTTAATCCATAATAGGCTCACCTTGACAGGAGGAGTAGTAGCTGCCTTCACAACGAAGGAACCCTTCCTGGAAGATTGGACTTGCCTTCCTCCAAGAATCTGTCTAGCAACCTCTGCCGACGAGCTGATGGATGATGAAGAGAGCAATGCTTGAGTTGCCATTTTCGTATTGCCTATAACACAGTGTTCAAGTTTGCTACAATAAGCACAAGGCATGCAGCAAATAATGGCCTAGAGAAGCCACTCAAGATTTGTGTGGGTCTAGTTGAGAGTGTTCAGATTGTGGCTGACATACAAGGACTTAAATGAATAGATAAAGTTAGGATCTTGTTCTCATTATTGTTACCGTGTTGACCTTCTATTATTTGGATAAGAGATTTCATTTGCTTGTAGGAATCAAATATCTTATAAAATTCCCATTTGGATCTATAAAATTTAGAAACCAAAAAAATGCAAGTCGATAATTTTTTTCAACGTTTTAAATTTTTTTTTTTTTTTTGGCCGTCGTCTTTTCTGTGTCATGGAAGCCCGAAATTCGTTAACCCCTCATTTCTGAAAGTAGAGCATATCTAACATTTATGAGGTATTGCAAAAGGCAAATGTCTGTTGGTAACTGAATTCTAATTAAAATTATATGTTGGTCATTTAATTTTTTTTTTGTTTTTTGGGAAAAGTCGATGTTTATGTATGCATTTTGTTTCAGTTATGCCACTCAATTGATGCGGATTCTTGTAGCCATTAATGTGTTGTTTTTTTTTTTTTTTTTTTATGCCGACTATGTAAAAGTAATTGTTCGCTGAAAATTGTACCGCAAGCGCACGGGTCGCGTTCAAGTAATAAAGTGGACCTTAAGAGTCCGGATTGTCGATCCCACGAGGAATGTATACTTTGGATTACACAACTTTAATCGATTTTAATTCTAACGACAAAAATAAACACACACATTTAAAAATAAGATTTAAAACTAACAATCTACAAAATAAGAAAATAAAGGTGTCTTGGCAAATTTC